TGATGGGCATTCGGCAGGAATCTGGGCGTACTTGAAAAATGAAAATGTTATCGACATGTCACATGAAATTTTAACATTTTTTTAATTTATCGGGTTCCTGTGCAACAGGAAAGGAAAATGTTTTCCTGAAATTGAGCTCTGATTAGCTAAACCAGAAGTCTGTGTCGAGACTGTAGCTCTACTGGTTTATACTTAAAACAAAGGAAGAGAAAAGTAGCAGTTGGGACTTGAGACTTTAAATCAGCAATAAATAGAAAAATGATCCTTGCCACTCATCAAAATAAAAACCAATGCATAGAATTATGTATCTTAGTATAGTCTACTTGTGTGCCAAGTTATACTGAAATCAGACCAAAACTGCAGGAGGAGTAGCATTTTGAAAGAATTTCACAGAAATTTCTATTTTTAGTAACCATGGCAACATTGTTCATTGAAATCAAAAACCGATGCACAGAATTATGTATCTTAGTGTAGTCTACTTGTATGCCAAGTTATATCAAAATCAGACCAAAACTGTAGGAGGAGTAGCATTTTGAAAGAATTTCACAGAAATTTCTATTTTTAGTAACCACTGCAACACCGTTTATCGAAATCAAAAACCGATGCAGAGAATTATGTATCTTAGTGTAGTCTACTTGTGTGCCAAGTTATACTGAAATCGGACCAAATCTGTAGGAGGAGTAGCATTTTGAAAGAATTTCAAAGAAATTTCTATTTTTAGTAACCACGGCAACACCGTTTATCGAAATCAAAAACCGATGCACAGAATTATGTATCTTAGTGTAGTCTACTTGTGTGCCAAGTTATAATGAAATTGGACCAAAACTGTAGGAGGAGTAGCATGTTGAAAGAATTTCACAGAAATTTCTATTTTCAGTAACCACGGCAACACCGTTTATCGAAATCAAAAACCGATGCATAGAATTATGTATCTTAGTGTAGTCTACTTGTGTGCCAAGTTATACTGAAATCGGACCAAAACTGTAGGAGGAGTAGCATTTTGAAAGAATTTCAAAGAAATTTCTATCTTTAGTAACCATGGCAACACCGTTCATCAAAATCAAAAACCTATGCACAGAATTAGTGTAGTCTACTTTTGTGCCAAGTTATATTGAAATCAGACCAAAACTGTAGGAGGAGTAGCATTTTGAAAGAATTTCAAAGAAATTTCTATTTTTAGTAACCACGACAACACCGTTCATCGAAATCAAAAACCGATGCGCAGAATTATGTATCTTAGTGTAGTCTACTTTTGTGCCAAGTTATATTGAAATCAGACCAAAACTGTAGGAGGAGTAGCATTTTGAAAGAATTTCAAAGAAATTTCTATTTTTAGTACCCACGGCAACATCGTTCATCGAAATCAAAAACCGATGCACAAAATTATGTATCTTAGTGCAGTCTACTTGTACTGTAGGAGGAGTAGCATTTTAAAAAATTGTTTACAGACAGACAGACAGACAGACGGACGGACGGACGACGGACGCATTACTATCGCATAAGCTCTTCTGGTCTCGGACCAGTAGAGGTAAAAATAACTTGAAAATTAGCCAGATCAGACATTTGGTACAAAAAGGTAAATTTTTAGCTCTACTGGTCAGAGACCAGAAGAGGCTTATGCGATAGTAATGCGTCCGTCATCCGTCCGTCTGTCTGTCTGTTTGTAAACAATTTTTCAAAATGCTACTCCTCCTACAGTTTTGGTCTGATTTCAATATAACTTGGCACACAAATAGACTACACTAAAATACATAATTCTGTGGATCGGTTTTTGATTTCGATAAACCGTGTTGCCTTGGTTACTAAAAATAAAAATTTCTGTGAAATTCTTTCAAAATGCTACTCCTCCTGCAGTTTTGGTCTGATTTCATTATAACTTGGCACACAAGTAGACTATACTAAGATACATAATTCTGTGCATTGGTTTTTATTTTGATGAGTGGCAAGGATCATTTTTCTATTTATTGCTGATTTAAAGTCTCAAGTCCCAACTGCTAATTTTCTCTTCCTTTGTTTTTAGTATAAATAAACCAGTAGAGCTACAGTCTCGACAGAGACTTCTGGTTAAACACGTTTTTTTCTAAATTTTTCTATCTCTGGGTCTTCTCTCCATGATTTTGAAACGTTATTCGTGTGTACATGTATTTAAATTCACAGAAACGAATACACTTTTTTCAAAAATGGAGAGAAGTAGACCCAGAGACCACGAAAAATTAAGTTTTCCCAAAAAAATCCAAATGTGTGAATGTGGTGCTTCTTTGTCCTTTTAAAATTGTAGCGGTGATAGCTCAGTAAGTTGGGCTACCTGTTTACTGCACTCGAAGCGAAAAGTTTTTGGTTCGAGTCTGGCATTGGGCGTTAATTTTTTTTTTCATGCAAACAACCATTTATTTTGTCAGTTTCATTTCATGTACTTATGTATTAAAATTTTGAATTAGATAAATTTTGGTTCAGTTTGGTTCTCTAGCGAAATCAATTCAGAATCTAATCCTTTATTCTATAATGTACATGTATCATGCATCTATGCATTAAATATTTTATGTGTTTATTTTTTGTGAAACATTAATATGTTACAGTACCCCCAGGAAAAACGGACATAAATGTTACAACTTCACACGGTCTTTCAAACTAAATGAAAAAAAAACTTATGGACGTGCTTGAAAAATCTGACCAGCTATGTTCAGCCAACCAAATGGTGGACATTTAAACCATAAATGTTTCGTACAAAATGCGCCCATCTTCTTAAAGCAACACTATTGAAAACACAGTTAAATCAATATGATGTAATTAAATGCTTGAGTTTTATAATGCTAGGCTGATCATGATAGGTGCCAAATTTCCTAAAACGAAGAAGACGGTTATGCATAAAATTATCATGCAAACAGACTGGTTGAAACATCATTTAAAAATAGCAAAGATGCTTTATTTCTATGATTAAAATATGCTACAACAAAAAAGGGGATTGGGGCATGCCTTTCAATGAAGTTCTGACAACAGTTACCGTTACTCGGTAGACAAAAAGGTTTGGGCAATTAAAGTAGGTGAATATTATATTTGTGATTTCCTGAAAAGTTCACTTCCTTTGATGACCTTGTTGTGTCGAATGTACAAAAAATGTCATTTTTGTCTTTCACATTTGCAAACAATTTTGCTCCGTTTCAAATTCCCCCACTCATATTTTTATTACAAACTTCGTGCTGTTTTCTTTGAAATCACCCAATTTCAATTAAATTGACCAACTGTAAGCCGAAAGCGTGTATACATAAAATTATTATGCAAGACAATAGGATTATCGTAATGAAAACAAAAATTCTCACAGAAAGTTATTTCTTTTTGATTCCGTAAATTCACGTGCTACAAGCCCCGTCCCGCACGCACAGATTGTTCTTAAACTTTAAAGGCACGAAGCATCGCGGAAAAAATACTAGAAAATACTACGATTTATAATAACTATAGTAAATCAAAGTTTCAAAGTTATCACTATAGTAAATCAAAGTTTCCAAAGTGATCACTTAAGTGTCAAAGTTATCAATATAGTAAATCAAAGTTTTCAAAGTGATCACTTAAGTGTCAAAGTTATCAATGTGGTAAATTAAAGTTTTCAAAGTAATCTCTATCGTAAATCAAAATTTTTACCATTATAGTACATTTAAGTTTTCATAGTGATTGCTATGGTAAAAAAAACAGTTTTCATAGTGATTACTATAGAAAATTAAAGTTTTCACTAATAAAAGAAAATAAAATAATCACCATAGTAAATAAAATTGTCAAAGTGTCAAAGTTTTGACTACAGTTAACTTCAGTTAACTATTAAAGAAACTATATAACTGAAGCATTGTATTTTTTTGGGGGGGGGGGGGGCTTTGCCTTCCCCTGAAATGATCTTTGAATAAAAAAAACGTCCTTACTGAAAGTCCAGTAGCCCTTTCTTGTTGAAGTAAAGTCAACGAAAGTGAAAGATGATTATGTGTGAGGGGAAAAAAATTGGTACTAAAAGTTGACGCCTACCCACCCAGCCATCCCCACGGGATAAGATTTTCGAGTTTGGACAATTTTACTTTTATCTGTTTTCAAGATTTTTTTTTTTTTTTTTTTTGGTAAGTTGATTTTTTTCCTCCACCCTTGCAAAATCGATTCTACGTCACTACTTTGTAGAAAAAACATAGAAATCGATCATTTTGTTTACTTGAACCCTGTAAAATTATTGAATAGAAGATATGGCTTAGTTATGACCAAGCAAAATAAATCAAAACAAATCACATTGACATTAATCCAGCACTAGGGTACACTGGTGGACAGATGTAGCCTACGTAAATATTCATCATATTGCATGGACATTATTCTTTCATTTTTGTTGGTCATCAGCGAGGCGCAGTGGTCAGAGCGTCTGCTCTAGAGTAGCAGAGTATTAGGGATAGATCCTTACGTCGCAGGTTCGAATCCCAATATGGGACGCGGAGACCGTTCCTTTAGATGAAACCGTATAAACCGAGGTACCGAGTTGCAGTACATTCTGGCACTAAAAAAGATGCCTCACTGCTCAATTGCCGCGTTAATACAAAGAAAAGATCAGAATTTTTTATACTTCCATCGGCAAGTGATGACCAGTGTCTCTATGTAATGGTACGAGTGAAAAATTTTCGAGAGAGACGTTAAACAACAAACAATAAATCAAAATAATTTTTTTTATGAAAATGATACGCCAACAAAATTTGGGGAAAAGATCACGAAGTAGACAAAAAGAGATGCGATTGCATGTCGACGACTTTGTGATTGACCCGATCATGATCCAATTATGAAATAAATTTATTAGGCAGTCTGGAGTAACCAGGGGAAAATTTTTCTATCGAGCAATCTAGCTTTTTATTTAAAAGTGTTATCATCAACACGCGACCGAAGATTGATTCTTCTGAATATAAATTAATAATATAAATTTTAACATATTCCAGTTTCCATTTTGGATGACAATTTCAAATGTTTTTCTGAAAAATCATTTACAGCATGGAGAACACAACGGCGCAGGAAAATACAACTCAAACAAACCAAGAATGTACGGAACTTATAGTAGCGCTCTACATTTACCAAGGAATGGCTTTATATGCGGTAAATATTTAGCTTTTCAAAGTTAAAAGTCGGTCTATACTCTGCAGTGTGACGTCTGCAAACTACACTGTAAGTATTCATCGCATATAACAGTTTTAAGAGAGTTAAGGAGTTGTTCAAACACGTAGATTTTTGTCATTGCAAACTATTGTGAAATCAGGATACCAATTTCATAGCAGTAATATTGATGAAAAATAAAACTATAGCCGTGCGAAAACATAAAATTGTAATCATTGATTCGTGAATACGTGTACAAGACGATAAGACTTTAAAATTAACGAAAAAAAAATCTCTAAAATATTGTCTGAATGTAGGTAAAATTTCCAATATTGTTGTTAAAATTCAGTATTAAATACTGTCCATCCTTTAAACTTTTATCCTAACAGATCGTGGCCACAATTATTATAACCTTTGTCGAAAAAAGACGATGTAAAGCAGAGGTTTGCCATGGTAGACCAGGACTTCCACTGTAAGTAAAATATTGTGAAAATGATAGAATCGAACCTGTTTTGATAATATACATTCATTACATCTTTTCACTTTCATTACTGGTGTTTTCTTTAAATTCTTCAAAACACTAGTTCAGTTGACTTGGCTTCGGTTTGTAATAATAACTAAGGAACATAAAACATTATGATAATCATTTATCAATAGTTACAAAATAGATGTATACATTATTATTTCTGTTCAAGTGGACATTTTAGCAGATATAATAAAACTCTAGCTTTTAATGAAAAAAATGTTGAATGATTTTACTTGTAAAATTCTCCTTTTTCTCTTCAGACCAATAAATTTCCTTGATGGCACCACAAATTCGATCGCCAATGCTGCAGCTTTTGGATGCATGCTGCAACACCTATTTATTCTTATTTTCTTTGGAAGCAGCTTCTACGCAGCTACGAAATGGTTGATGGGTATGCATCATCTCCTCAGCAAAATTCTCCTCTGGTCATCAACAGATTTCTTATTTGTGTTTGACCCAAATGGTTAAAAAAATGCCCGTGTATTCGAAGATTCAAGCGATTATCGTTTTTGCCCTTTCTGTCCGTCTGCCCCAACATTAACTTTAACTTTACCAGTACTATTGATTGCTAAAAGATGTGGCCTTAATAATTCGCATGTGTATTCCTTTTGACAAGATGTTTTAGTTTCAATTTATTTGCTAAAATGTTTCTTTGATCATAACTTTTCCCTTTTTGACCAATTTTGATCATTTGACATTGACCTTTGACCTTGGAATTTGACTTACAATTGAAAAAAAAATTATCCTTGACAATAAAGCTTTAATTGAAGTTAGAAGTAAGGTTTTCACCTTCAACTGGTGTTTTTCTTGTATAGAAAAAAACAACAGCAAGAACCATTGGATACTAAAGACTGTATTGATTGTGGTGTTTTTACCTTGAAGTTTTGACTTTCCTTTTAAAAATTTAAATGACCCTAATCAAAATTGGTGGTATGATTACGGCTTATATATTTCACCTGTGTGAATCGCTCTTTGGGTACCAACAATTTTGACCTTTGGCTTGCCCTGAGAGTTGAATTACTTTTGTAAAACTATAACTTTGGCCTTAACTTTTGAAATCTGTATGCTGATACTTTCATGTTTCACTTTGTCTTAAGTGTAGTACGATATTTTTATTTTACTTTCTGACCTTGACATAAGAGTTTGACCTTATTTTGATGTTTATAAATTATTAAATATCTGTATATAACGAAGCAGACTGGGTAAGATGAAATAGAAATCATGATATTGTTAATCATTTATATTTATATAAATCAGAAATTACTCCTTATCCTACAGGTATTTCAAGAGTAGATGTTTCTAAAGCATGATTCTATGTTTAGAAATTTGAAATAAAAGTGAAATACAAAAGTACATGTATGAACTACAATTTAAACTGTTGATTGTAATAAAAAACTTACGTATAATTAAAATGACAAAACATATTTTTGTTGTATTTTAAGCACCTATATTTTTTCTTGCCTGCTTTTTGATGTCTATGGTATATTACCCTATATTTGCTTGCTTGAATTCATCGTCTCGACTGGTCGGATCTATCATTGGATTTCTGTATACCTTATTTTTGTAAGTATTTAAGAAATTATATTTGTCAAAATCTTGAATTAGAATTGTTTCCTTACTAGACTTAATTTTATCTTCAATTTTGCCTGTCTGGTTATATAGTAGGTGTTTCTCTATTTCAACAGGTTTTTGGTTGTTTTTGGTCAAAATTACCTCTGTAACAATGCAGGCTGGGTAAGATAGTATAGAACTCACGATATTCGTTAATCAAATATAATACTTAACCGATTCTAAAGAGAAGATTTTTACAATACATAATTACCGCATATTTTCATTAAAGGTATGGGCTATCTACGGCATTGTTTTTATTTCTGAAATATATCTACTGATGCTTTTCATTTACCGAATTGTAACTGCACTGTGCAAGAAATCCACAAATGTAAGTAAACAAGGCACAATACTAAATACACATTAAAAACATTGCATGAAATCTCCAAGTTAGTCGAAAAGTGGAAGTAAAAATAGACCTTTACTTTGAATTTCATGTATATTTTATAGTTGAAGGAACCTCTAGTGAAGATTGACCAGTTGATGCACGTCAAAGATCTACTTCAGAAACCCAAAAACGGTGCCGAAGAAATAAAGATAAAGTAAACATATAGTTAATTTATATTTTAATATGTTTGTATTATTGTAAATTCCAATACTTTAAACATAGTGCAAAGAAAAGTGCTATATATTGAAAATATATACTTGCTTATTTCCTGTTCTGAAGAGCAGTTCAAAATTTACTGTTTAATATCAAAGGACTCAGACCTTTGAACTTGTGGAAAAAATTGTAGTAAAATCTTTGTAGTACTAATCTCACATACACTACTGGATCTGACTTTGATTAGTTATTCAAGAAAAAGAAAATATTATCTTAAGTGTATAATTTTTAGGGAGAGGATAATTAAGCATGCAGATGCTGTTGTGGCTGAAGCTAAGCTTTGCTGTCTTCATAAAAGTCTATACAGATGCACCACCAGAACACTTGCCATCAACACCATAGTCCTGCTTGTTTTCTATTATGTAATTTTTTTAAATTATAATATACTCAGTTTGAATTCAAAGTTGTAGATGAATTAAAGTAACGTACGTTGTATTGATTTTTGGTCATTTCAATTTTTCTGGTTTGCTCATGAAACAGGTTATTATTTTACAGGAATTTCTCTTGACCATATATGCAATCAACCTTTTTGGACAAATATATGACCATCTTGCTTCAAACAAATACATGTACATATCCTTGATTGGGATAAAAATTCCAGAGTCAGCACTTCGCTATTTACAGACTGCAATACAAGTCATCAGAGGCATGTAAACATAAAAGTTGGAGCACATATATGCAAAAATTCTTTTAAGATTCAAACTTTTAAAAAATAAAAACCTCTCTCTCTTTCTCTTTCTTTCTCTCCCTCGACACAGGCAAAAGATTCGTTCATTTATTCATGCCTTTGCTCTGATATTGATGTCAGGGTTTATTTTTAATTTTTAGTATTAACTGCTACATGTAACAGTATATTTTTACATTTCAGTCTCCCTTATCATCACCAATATCCTATCAGCTGTTTATCTAATCGCAAATATGGTCCTCATCTATCGTTCTCAGAGACAACATATCATTCAGATATGGAGAGGAGACAGGTCTTTCATTCCCAAAAATTGCACTCAAACACATAGTGACATGCTGGTTTGTACATATGTTTTGTGTATTTTTAGTTGTTGATGTTTAAAAAAAAAAACTTTTTTATATAAATGTCTCACTATAATGCATTCCTATTTCCCGAAAAACAGTTCATGAATAAAATTTTTACGCCATGACTCCTTTTTGTTCAAAATTTAAACTGACATCAATCGATCTTTATTTAAATATCTGATTTGTTTTGATTTAAAAAAAATTATCATCTCTTCCAGGTGAAAAATTTGATGTACGCAGGAAACCAAGTTTCTCATCTTCTTGGAGGTTTATCTTTTTTTAATACTTTTAAGCAGACGTTGACATGTATAATCTTAATGGAAATTACGGTGCTTTATTAAATTTTCTAAAACCATTGACATAGAATTTCTCTTTTCAAATTTGCAAGTCTAAAAATGTCTATAAGAATTTTTTTCCTGTTCCAATCTAGGTTATTTAATTTCACAGATAGTTGTGTTCCTTGTCTGTGTTGTCGTGGCGTATTGTGTTGTTTTACCTCTCATGAAAGAGATTCCTGATTTTTTTCTATCACCATTGGAGGCTATATTGTAAGTATGGTCACATAATATTTCTGTTTTTGGTAATTTATTAACATTCACTTTTAACTACAGGGCATAATTGTCAAAAATCTAATTTTAATACTGTAATAAAACTCGTATTTACTTCTAGACCTGGAGTGGTATTCATGTTCATTTTCCGAGTTGTACTTCGAATCATCAGTCGTAAAGCTTTCCTACAAAATCATTACATCAGTTCCGACAACGGGGAACACTGGGAGAAAGTACTGGCTTTAGATAATAGGTAAGTATAGTCAAATGGATTAAGCTTTTCTTCTTCTAAAGCTATCAATTGATCATTTTTTGGCATGAATTTCTTCGAAAAATTACTATCATTATTTTTTACAAATCTAAAATGACTTTTACTCTTTTTAGGCGGGTGTACCAGAATCTGTCCTATTTCCTGTTTTTCTACTATATACTGATTGGTTTATTCAGATGTGTGTACCGGGTATTAGTGTCCATGTGTTTAGGAATATTAAACATAGCACGTATGGATAGATCCTTGTTGTTTCCTGGATATGAACATTTTGATATCAGTGAGTGAATCAATAAGTAATAATCATATTTAGCCCATCCGTGACGTACAAAATGAAACAACTTTCTCTTACTTGATGTTAATCTTTTGAAATATGATAGGGTCTAAATAGATAAAAGTATATTTTTCCATAAATGAATTAATTTTCATATAGTTTTCATTACCTAAGTATGTTTCTTCTGTTCAAGGTTATATGACATATCTTGGGTTTCTGGAGGTTGAACTTCACCACTGTCACCCAGTCGTTGTTGTCTTCTGTGACCAATTGATCAAAACTGTGAAAATTATCTCTACTAAATCTGTGCAGAGCCTTAATTCCTCGGATGATCTTGTTTATGAAAACAGGATTTGTGGTCTCTCCAGTGTTTACACACGAAAAGTAAGGAATAGGTGGCAAAAGATGAAAACCATAATCTGTAACCAGTCTCTTTGCAAAGCTTCGAAAACAAACATTTCTTTTGAGCATCCTATTACTGCAAAGAAAACTTTGGTGGGATCCACAATTATTTAATCTCTAGGTAAAGTGTAAAGTGAAAGTAAACCAAAATTCTGGATAATTATGTAGTTTTGTAGGATAAATCTTTGATCTACATAAAGAGCTCTAAATCCAAAGTTTTTCTTGAGCCTAATACTTAGGATATGAAATAAGAATCTCTGGATGTTATTCCTAGTTGTTTTTTTTTTTTTATTATTTCATTATTAATTTTAGGAATAGTGTACCTATTAGAAAAAAAATATCCAGATATGTCAAATATACCTCTTTTAAATAATGATATACAGAAAAATAAAGGCTAGTTCTTGTGCTTAGTTTTTTCCAACTCTATTCTGGATATTAGAATCTCCCTACATTAATTTTATCACAGCGAAAGATTTGATTACAATGATGGCAATGAAATCTAATATGTCCAACTGTGAGATATTAAAAATGCACTTATCCTGTTATAACTGTTTTATTTTGTTGTGATTATGAATATCAAAAGTATGTATTCTTTCTTGTTTTTTTCTAAGAATTATAAAAACGCATTTTTTACTTTTGTATTTCTTTCTTCCAATGTGATGTAAACATTTGAATGACTACTTGTGTCATATATCATCTTAAATAAAATGAGTTAATGGTATTTTTCTTGAAAGAAGATGAGCGCATTTGGCGTGTGATCTGCAGGAATCATTTGTACGAAACACTTATGGTTTAAATGTCCATGATTTGGTTGGCTGAACATAGCTTGTCAAAGTTTACAAATACGTCCATAGTTTTTTAGCTCACCTGAGCTGAAAGCTCAAGTGAGCTTTTCTGATCACATTTTGTCCGGCGTCCGTCTGTCTGTCTGTCCGTCTGTCTGTCTGTCTGTCTGTCTGTAAACTTTTCACATTTTCGACTTCTTCTCAAGAACCGCTGGGCCAATTTCAACCAAACTTGCCACAAAGTATCCTTGGGTGAAGGGCATTCAAGTTTGTTCAAATGAAGGGTCATGCCCTCATTCAAGGGGAGATAATTGGGAATTAATGAAAATTTGATGACATATTTTAAAAATCTTCTTCTCAAGAACCACTGTGCCAGGAAAGATGAAACTTATGGGGAAACATTCTCAGGTAGTGTAGATTCAAGTTTGTTCAAATCATGACCCCCGGGGGTAGGGCGGGGCCAAAATGGCCGACCAAAGTTTTACATAGAAATATATCGGAAAATTCTTTAAAAATCTTCTTCTGAAGAATGACAAAGCCATAATTCATCATATTTATATGGAAGCATGCTCAAATAGTGTAGATTCAGATTCATTCAAATCATGACCCCCAGGGGTAGGGCGGGGCCAAAATGACCGACCAAAGTTTTTAGCTTACCTGAGCCGAAGGCTCAAGTGAGCTTTTCTGATCACATTTTGTCCGTCGTCCGTCCGTCTGTCTGTCCGTCTGTCCGTCTGTAACCTTTTCACATTTTCGACTTCTTCTCAAGAACCATTGGGCCAATTTTGACCAAACTTGGTACAAAGCATCCTTTGGTAAAGGGGAATTGAAATTGTTAAAATGAAGGGACATATCCCCTTGCAAGGGGAGATAATCAAGAAAAGACAAAAATAGGGTGGGGTCGTTAAAAAATCTTCTTCTCAAGAACTACTGGGCCTCAAAAGCTGAAACTTATACGGAAGCATCCTTTGGTAGTGTGGATATCAAATTGTTAAAATCATGACCCCCAGGGTTTGGACAGGGCCACAATAGGGAATCCAAGTTTTACATAGAAATATATAGAACAAATCTTTAAAAATCTTCTTCTCAAGACCTACTGGGCCAGGAAAGCTAAAACTTTTGTGAAAGCATCCTAGGGTAGTGTAGATATTAAATTGTTCAAATCATGACCCCCGGGGGAAGGGCGGGGCCACAATGGGGAATCAAAGTTTTACATAGAAATATATTGGAAAAATCTTTGAAAATCTTCTTCTCAAGAACTACTGGGCCAGAAAAGCTGAAACTTATGTGAAAGCATCCTAGGGTAGTGTAGATATTAAATTGTTCAAATCATGACCCCCGGGGAAAGGGCGGGGCCACAATGGGAAATCAAAGTTTTACATAGAAATATATAGGAAAAATCTTTGAAAATCTTCTTCTCAAGAACTACTGGGCCAGAAAAGCTGAAACTTATGTGGAAACATCCTAGGGTAGTGTAGATATTAAATTGTTCAAATCATGACCCCCGGGGGCAGGGCGGGGCCACAATGGAAAATACAAGTTTTACATTAAAATATATAGAACAAATCTTTAAAAATCTTCTTCTCAAGAACTACTGGGCCAGAAAAGCTGAAACTTATGTGGAAGCATTCTTGGGTAGTGTAGATTCTTAATTGTTCAAATCATGACCCCCGGGGAAAGAGCGAGGCCACAATGGGGAATCAAAGTTTTACATAGAAATATATAGGAAAAATCTTTGAAAATCTTCTTCTCAAGAACCACTGGGCCAGAAAACCTGAAACTTAGGTGGAAGCATCCTGGTATAGTGTAGATTCTAAATGAAATCATGACCCCCGGGGGAAGGGTGGGGCCACAATTGGTAATCAAAGTTCTACATAGAAATATATAGGAAAAATCTTTGAAAATCTTCTTCTCAAGAACCACCGGGCCAGAAAAGTTGAAACTTATGTGGAAGCATTCTTGGGTAATGTAGATTTTAAATTGTTCAAATCATGACCCCCAGGGGAAGGGTGGAACCACAATGGGGGGATCAAAGTTTTACTTAAAAATATATAGGAAAAATCTTTGAAAATCTTCTTCTCAAGAACCACTGGGCCAGAAAAGCTGAAACTTATTTGCACATGGAAGGATCCTGGGGTAGTTGATTTCAAAATGTCTTAATTATGATCAGTGGGGTAGGGTGGGGATACATAATTTATTACAAGGGGGAAATCTGGTAAAGAACAGAATGGTCAAAGTTCTCAGGTGAGCGATGTGGCCCATGGGCCTCTTGTTTTTCAATTAGTTTGAAAGTGTGAGATTGTAACATTTTTGTCTGTTTTTCGTAGGGGGTACTATAGTAATGTTTCACAAAAAATAAACACCTAAAATATTTAATGCATATATATGCATGATAGGTGTACATGTACATTATACCGGTATATACAGTATAGAATAGAAGATTAGAACCAAACTGAATCAAAATTAATCTAATTCAAAATTTTAATATATCTGCACATACATGTAAAACGAAACTGAGAAAATAAATGGTTGTTTGCATGAAAAAAAATAATTAACGCCCCATGCCAGGCTCAAACTAAAAACTTTTCGCTTCTAGTGCACTGACCACGTAGCCCAACTTATTGAGCTATTACCGCTACACATACGCAGATGATTTTAAAAGGAAAAAGAAGCACCACACTCTCACATTTGGATTTTTTTGGGGAAAGTTCGTTTTTCATGGTCTCTGGGTCTTCTTTTATAAATCGTTTGTACAATTTGTTTATTAAATCGTTTGTACAATTTATTAAATCGTTTGTACAATTTATTAAATCGTTTGTACGATTTATTAAATCGTTTGTACGATTTAATAAATCGTTTGTACGATTTAATAAATCGTTTGTACAATTTAGTAAATCGTTTGTACAATTTAATAAATCGTTTGTACAATTTGTTTGTTAAATCGTTTGTACAATTTATTAAATCGTTTGTACGATTTATTAAATCGTTTGTACGATTTAATAAATCGTTTGTACAATTTAGTAAATCGTTTGTACAATTTAATAAATCGTACAAACGATTTATTAAATCGTGCAAACGATTTATTAAATTGTACAAACGATTTATTAAATCGTACAAACGATTAAAAAAAAATTTACATTGTTAAAATGGCACTAATACGCCGTCGTAGATTTTAACATACATCATGCAATTTTCATTCGTCTTATAAAAAATGAAAAGAAAATTGGAGGTAGCCTTTATTGCAGTGAAAAGGGGGCATGTCAAAACACAAAATTTAGATTTATTCTGTCCAACTACGTATTTTATATGTCGCAATGGGTTTACATAACACCAACAAACGATTGCAATACTGTATAAGTTTCTAAAAAATAAATAATTCTTACATCATGAAATAATTTTCTCGCCGTGCTTTATTTTTCTCTTAACACGAGACGTTGTTTTACGTGGAAAAAATGGGTAGAGGGAGGAGGGGGGGGGGGGGGGGGGAAAGGTGACAAAATTGCGATTTTTACTAATATCATGTAATATATAGAAAAATAAAATATTTCGGGGATTTAATTTAAATGATTTATAGACTTATTTTATTTTTTAAAACTGAAAATAATCCATGCATATTTAAGTCCGCAATAAAAAGAGTGTGTATAAACACTTCAACATGTTCAAAGCGAAAGACTTAAATCGTTTACTTTTAGTTGCAGTGTTTGTTTGTTTAAACTCACAAATTGAAGTAAAACAGGATAAAATTAATGAATCTGTCAAAATTAATTAGGTTCCAAAGTTGTTTATTAATTTAAATATTTAAAAGAATAATAATAGAAATGCCAGCTTTCAATGCATAATCAAGATCAGCGAAACATTTTAGCGCAATTTGACGTCATTTTAATTGTGACGTTATTGTGTTCAATTGTGACGGCAGTCAACAATATTGTGACGTGCCTGAGTCGACGCTGCGTTAAAACCTATGCGCAGATCAACTAGATCGGGCCTCGTTAATTTAGCCAACCTTTTTTTTTTTTTAAATATTTCTGCTATCATCAAATATGTATTATTATTTACCCTGGCCATGAGGATTTCCCTCACATCTCCTGCCTCAAAATGTTTTACCGTCTAGGCCACGGAAGTTGTGGACTGCACGGCCTTGTACCCTTGTACCTGGCGATCGACCACTAATGGACGACCGCCTAGATTGGCAGATTGGGTATCGCGCCCGCGTCTAACGGTACATACTGTGCCTCGGTTATTAACATAGGGAATATCTAAAGGTCTTTACCATCGAAATTGGTAGGAAAGTTAAAGTTTAAGATGGAGTTCTGTTGATTATTTCTTCTTTTGTCTTTTTTTTTCAAAAACCACTCCCAGCTCTTCTGCTAACCGCTGTAACGAATTTTTTTTTAAGTTTGTTCAAATTTTCCCGGGTCGCCATCTAACATTATGTAAACATTGCTGTAACCATTTAAGGAATGTTTTCAAGTTTTCTGTGAGTTATTGGTGTGTAAATTACACAGACTTGTCACGTGGGCATATTTCATGTAGCGCGCAATCGCTTCATGAAAAATATGCCTACGTGCATTTCTGTGTGATTCACACATCAAGAATTCACACAAAACTTTAAAATACCCCTTTTATTTATATTTTACATGCTTGGAAGCACCAACAATATACTCAATATTTGAATTTCTCGCTGCCCTAACGTTATACTTTTACTAACGTCGCTGTACATAGCCTTGTCATTGGCGTCGGAAGCAAATTGAAAAGGGGGGGGGGCTAAGTGTCTAAAAAAATTTATACCTTCAAAAAAACCTGACAAGCAAAAAAAAAAGGGGGGGGATGTCCATTTCCCAAACACGAAAATCCTATTTCGGAGGGGGGGGGGGTAGGTTAGGTTTGAACTTCAGTATCAAATTTTTTTTTCCATACGCCACTACTTTATCCATTTTTACCCTTTTTTAACCTATACTACGACGTGTCTGTGGAAAGTGGGGGGGGGGGGGGGGGGGCTAAACCTACGAAGCAATATTCAATGTCTATACTAAGTATATATTTGGAAAAAAAGTGCCCCCCCCCCTAGCCCCCCCCCCCGGTTCCAACGCCTATGCTTGTTGTGACGTCACGTTATGAATGAATCGTAGCCAATAAAATAGACAGTCTACATGAATACCAAATAAGCACGTGTTCGATTGAACTCCAATAGATATGTAGTAACGGAAGCGATTGGAAGCGAGGGGAGGTAGGGGCCTAATACATGTATTTACATTTGCTGTGTTTTTTTCTACTTAGCTAACACAGTGAAATTGATTTTTTGAATACCATTTTAATGTATATATATACTCACAAAAGAAAAGATAAAGTAGACTGTGATTTTTAACCCCTATCCACCCCTTTCTGTTTGAATTCGTAAAAATCATTCAGAAAGGTCTTGAAACACATTTTTCGTAGAATATGTTTCTTAAAGAAAACAGACCATAGTAATTTTCTGCTAACAATTTTATTTTAAAACTGTTTCTACCATATATCTTTAAATGGGTAAGCTTCAACCATATTTCTTGAACTTAACTTATAATTAGCAGGGGCGATATTATCAAACATAGTTTCCAAAAACCATTTGGGCCTGTTCTTTCTAAATCGATAAGCATAATATAACATTTATCTTGCTTTCGGTTTAGTATTTGGCAAAGCTTAAAATCTTGATTGGCTATATCTGACATCGGCTTACGTTTAAGAAAAACGTCTGTGTACAATCAGAGGCGTAGTCACAAACTTGATAGTGGGGGGGGGGGGGGGGGGGGGGGGGGGGGCTCAACTCCAGAAATTCTTTTACAAGCAAAAAAAAAACACTTAAAATTGGGGGGGGGCTCAACTCCAGAAATTCTTTGACAAGCAAAAAAAAAAAAAATTCCCCAAACTCGAAAATCCTATTTCGGGGGGGGGGGGGGGGGGGGGGGGGGAGTAATGGCCAACTTTTTCAAAGGCAACTTACTTTCAAATCAAATTTTTTTCCACAATTCTTCGATATAACTATACAAGGGGTCAAAAAGTGGGGGGGGGGGGGATCCATTCAATGAATATTTCCTATAGTAAAGGTTATGTTGGGGAAAAATAGCTCTGATTTTGCTCTTCATTAAAAAAGTGGGGGGGGGGGGCACAGACATACTCTTGCCCCCTCAGATCTGAAAGTGGGGGGGGGCTAGTGCCGCCGCGGCCCCCCCCCCCCCCCTATGACTACGCCTATGTACAAGTACTATCAATCCAACAATACCCCGATAACACTGACCAATCGTATTGAATGATTGTTTTCCAGCGCGACATTTGTAGTCATCGGCAACACATGGTCAGTCAAAACTGTATATGGAAAACAATCATTCAATACGATTGGTCAGTGTTATCGGGGTATTGTTGGATTCTGTTTTTTTATGCAAAGTAGATTGATTTCATTCAAATCAAACATCCAATCGATGAATGATATGGTAATCAATTTGTAAAATTTTTACCACGGTCGATCAAGCAAATTGACACGCTGTTATTGGAATGATAGTAATTCTTATAAACAGTTTAGGAAACAAAAACAATCATACTCGGTCAGAATGTATTGTCTTGATTTACATAATTTATTTAAACGTACTTACAATAAAATATAGAATATTTTAAACAAAACAATGTTTGGAATATTCTCAGTTTCGTGTTTTTTTAATTGCAATTCGTAAGGACAAGGCTTTGAGTCCGGCCAGGTTTTAGAACATGCGACAACGAGGAGCTAGTTTTCTGAAAACTACACGTGCTCTTTGAAAAACTGGAACTCGAATGCAAGGTAAGTTTTTTTTTGTTGAAATAATGCCCTGTTGGGTCTTTTTTTTTATTTTGGAGAAAGAAAATGGATTGTTTGGAATCAATATAATTCAATTTATCCAAAAAGTGCGCCGACTTTAATTGAAATCTAACCGTCCCACCGACACTATTGTTCAGGGACAAAGCGGATGTTTAAAATACACTTATAAACGTTATCTTTTTGCAAAATCTTTTATTCTGACAATGCAAACATTTAAACATCGGTTATAGGGATGAGTTATGCTACACATAACATACATGTACACCCGGTGGCCGTCGTGGCAATGTAGATTCTTCCCCCATAGTAAGACTTTCCCAGAAAGAGGGTTGTATGACGATAAAGCCATACTTTAAATTCCCATCTATCTCTAGCCATATACTCAATCTCTTAACAGATGGCGCGCTCCGCAAGCTCCATTGTTAAAGCGGAGCGTAAAACGCCCTATTGTGAAAGATTGGCCATAAATCCAAGCTCTGGAATGAGCTGATGAGCCACCTTCCCTTTATCGTCTTAATTCATATTTCGCCGCCCGTTTATAAAGCTCTGGTGGGAAAGGGTCGTGCATTTTGGCCGTGGGTTGCGATGATGCCTCACTTTGGACGACGTACCCTTGTTACGAGAGTTCCGGGGAATGGACAGAGTATCAACCGGCAATCCTCGGCTGACTCCGCTACGCTCCATTCAAACCTGCGAGGTTATGTGCAAATGGAGTTATATGAGGAAGAGTCGGGGGGGGGGGGGGGGGGGGGGGCTTCTTTGTACTTTTAGTCTGTACGTTATTATTTAAATTTATCAGTATTGCTATATCAGTATTACTATTATCAGTGAGACTGCGGGCATTTTAATTCATTATAATTCAATTTCTTTGCTTATGCCTGAGTTTTGAGATAGATATTTGCTTAACTAGCCTAATCCTGAATTATTAATTGAATTTGAAACAATCCTGCAAATATCACGTTTTATGCGTTATGTCAAAAATCTTGACCTGCATGGAGATTGGCATAGACGTTTCAAATTGAATTCGGAAATGACGAGAGATAAGTATATAAAAAGGGTTGTAAATTTTACAAGTAAGAAGACGTGCATATTGTTTTAGCTCACCAGAAGTAGCTCGTGTGAGCTATTCAGATCTCATAATGTGTGGAGTTTTGAAATTACAAAACCTTGACATTGAGAGGATGGTGTCCAGCGTCCATCCTTGTCTCAAGCTGTCTGTCCGTCGTACGTTTGTAAACTTTGCAATTGACATTTTCAATAGTAATTTCTTCTTAAAAAATCACTTGGCCAATTTTAACCTAAATTGGTACTAAGCATCGCTCCAGGTGAAAGAAAATCTAAATTTTTAAATAAAGGGCCAAACCGATTTCAAAGTGGAGATAAATAAGAAGATGTAAAAGTAGGATGGTGTCATTAAATAACTTTCTAAAGAACCACTTGGTCAGAAGATTAACTTATCAAGCATCCTGGGGCACATCTTTGCAAGCCAAGGGTTTTCGATCCGAAATGTAGAGAAGATTACGGATCGAAAACCCTTGGCTTGCGGAGGTGTTTGGCAGTGTAGATTCTAAATAAATCTTCTCAAGAACCACTGGGTCAGAAAAGATGAAACTTCATGCATTGGAAGCATCCTTGGGAAGGGTAGATTCTAAATTGTTCAAATCATGGCCTGGGGGGGGGGTTAAGATGAGGCTAAAACAAGAAAAATTGTTGAAATCATGACGTACCCAGGAGGCAGGGTGGGGAACAATAGCGAATCAAAACTTTACATTGAAATATATAGGAAAAATCTTCTTAAATTCTCAACAATCACTGCGCCAGAAAAGACTAAACTTAGTGGAAGAATCCTGGAAAGCATAGATTCTAAATTCTTGAAATAATAGCCCGCGGGGATAGGGTGGGACAACAAAGGGGAAGAGGGGATTTAAATGAGTTTGACTTACTTCTTGAAAGAATAACTTTTACATGTACATCATATTACACCAATCGCCCTTTATGCTTTAGAAAACACGTAACAATATGATGCATCATTTTGGCCTATATGCACTCAGGTATTTCCTTGATAACTATACAGACCCCCTCCCACCAACCCACCCCCGCATAATTTGTCTATATATGGAATACAAAAGAAAACGCAGCTACTTTTTAGGTCAAGTTGTGCCCATTCAATAAAAAAAAAGGACGATGACCTTATTTTTTTTTTGGCTTGCTTGATTGTGAAGGGATTCCAATCTCTCACCAGAGGGCGTACTACGCAAGCTTCGTTGTTGGAGCGGAACGTAAAACGCCCTCTGAGAATGAAGGCATTTTCCAACTGAAAAATAGGTTGTACTCCGTCCCCTTCCCTTAAAATTGCTCCCTCTGAGCTTGTTGTTTTCCATTTGGTTATTTTTTTCAGTGAACATTTTCCGTAGTAAACATAAGCGTCGGAAGCAAATTGAAATTGGGGTGGCTAATTTAATGTAGGGGTGGGGTGGGGTGGCGAGCCTCCCCCCCCCCCATTTTTTCCCAACCTTACTTATACTAAAAGAAACGCTCATTGAAAGGTTGGTTGGTCCCCCAACTTTTTATGTTGAGGGAAATGTGGTATTTAAAAAATGGTACTGAAAGAAGTTGGCATTGGAAAAAATTTGGCTTCTAGTATAGAAAGTGTTTACTGATAGTTCGTCCCCCCCCCCCCCCCCCCCCCCCCCCGCTTTTTGTTGAAATTTAGTCAGTGAGGCAAAAAAAGCGTGTGTTAATGGTGAACCGTGTGAATAAATTTGATACTGAATGTAGAAGTCTAATTACCCCCCTTCACCTCCACCCCCTATGAGGTATGATTTTCTAGCTTGGACAATTTTTATTTTATCCTTTTGCTTCTCAAGATTTTGTTCTTTCTTTTCATGCAGGTAATTTAATTTTTTTTTCTCCGGTCGTCCCTTTCAAAAACCATGCTATGTCACTGCCATATAGAAATTCAGAAAAATAGAAATCGTTCCCGTTGTTTTCTTGAACCCTGTAAAATAGTAGATATGGCTTAATTTTTATTATTCACCCGGGATAGGAAATCATAATTAGACCAAGTCGACGACTTCGTTATTAAGCTGGAAATTATTCATTATTGTGAACCAGATTAAGCAGAAGAAAAAAATATTCTATCGGGCAATTCTATTAGCGAAACAAACCCTGCAATGTATGTGAAGCTGAACATTTAACCATTAAATATCATCATCACACGACCAATGACTAATCGTTTCAATTATTAAGTAATTAATTATATACATTAAAAAAGATTACACCTTCCATTTCGGATGACTAAATTGCAAATGTTTCTCTGAAAAATCTTTTACAGCATGGAGAACACGACGTCTCAGGAAAACACTACAACTCAAACGAACCAAAGGTGTTTGGAACTCACATTAGCGCTCTACAATTACCAAGGAATGGCTTTATGTGCGGTAAATATTCATATCTTCAAATTATTTAATGTGCATCATGACTGCAAACTACACAGTTAGTATTAATCGCAAAAAAATTAAATAATGGGCAATTAAACAAGTAATCATATTCAAACTTTGTTTTTCTTTGCAATTTGGTGTTGGACACCAATTCTGAAAAGTGAAAACGATGAAAAGTAAAACTAACCAAAAAGAACATTTCTTCTCATTGTATCACTACCCAACACTAATAAGACTGATAATTGGTTATGCCCCCGTAAACAAATATTCTGGAGTAAATATTTTTGCCCTGTCCGCCTGTCAAGTTTCTGTTTGTCTAAACCTTGCCCATATAACTTTTGATTGGAGCATGCACTTGTATTTCTTGTGACAAGAACTTTCTTTGAGTATTAATCTCTTTATGACCTCGGAAGTTTACTCACGTTTGCAGAAAATTGTGTCAAATCAATAAAACCTCGAGAAAGGACATGTCACCAAAAAAAAACATTTTAAATAAAACTTTTGAACATTTAGCACCAGGGCGTTCATATTTCATAGATGTATGCCTTGTGACAAGACCCCCTGAATACCAACAATTTTGAAGTTTGACTTGCATTAGAAAAAACTTCAACCTTTGCCATAAGCTGCCATACAGGGGCATCAGTGTTTCACAAACACAACTTGTTTATTAAAGAAATCATTTTCCTTTTGACGAAGTATTTGAATTTTTGCTGGTGAAAATTCTGTTGTTGTAGTTTAAACAATCCATCCTTTCTAAAATGTTGTTACACTTTTTTCGAACAGATCGTGGCCACAATTATTATAACTTTTGTCGAAAAAAGACGATGTAAAGCAGAGGTTTGCCATGGTAGACCAGGACTTCCACTGTAAGTTAATTATTGTTCTTAGAATTATGAAATCGGACCTAATTGATAATACATGTTTATCTTTATTTAGTGATCAATGCCTTGTTGATTAAATATTTATGGAATAATAAAAATGATTTTAATATGTTTGTTTAAATCGACATTTCAGCAGATATTAAAATACTTGTAAATGACATAAAAGGAATTTTCTATCATAAATTTTTCATTTAAGCTTAACAGAGCTGAAATATTCAAGTGTTTTTTTTTAATCACCCGTTGTCCTACGTCCGAAGCTCGTCTGTCTACCTGTCTGTCTGCCCGTCTACCCGTCATAAATTGGGAATATATAGACAAATATCATTTTCGTTCAAATCATAGCCCGTGGTAATAGGATTGTGGCCACAAAAGGGAATCGATAAAACACGGAAATACAAATATTTGCGATGGGGGATTAAATGCAGAATAGCAAAGCTTGAATGACTAAGAAGAGTGTTGTGGCCTATGGCCTCTTTTTCTTTCTTTATTCAGCCCCATTAATTTCCTTGATGGCACCGCCAATTCCATCGCCAATACTGCAGCTTTTGGATGCACCCTTGAACATATCGTTTTTTTCATTTTGAATGGATCTAGATTCTACAATATTTCGAGATGGCTGATAGGTATGTATCATCGTTTCAGCAATATTCGCGTCGGTTCCTCAACAGAAATATTTTTTTATGTTTGACTGATTAATTTTATGCCCCCGTTATCGACGATTCGGTTACATATAGGTTTTGCTCTTTCTGTCCGTCTGTCTGCAAAAATTTAAACCTTGCCCGTACCTATTGTTTGGTTAAAGCTAGGGCATTAATAATTTGAAACTGTATTCCTTGAGACAAGACTTTGGGTTATCAGCTTACTACCTTATCTTTAATTGACTTAAACTTCTGAAGAGTTTGCGGGATTTAATACGCTTTAGTATAAACAATTTTGACATTTGACCCTGACTTTGAAATTTGACGTAGTTTTCATAATGTTATTCCTTGATAATAAGTTTTGAATGTTGTAGCAAGTATTTTTTATATTCCACAGGTGTATTCCTTTATAAAAAGCAAATTATTAGTTACTAAATTGTGGTTTTTTAATTCATCTTGAACTCACCTGTAGGAATAAAACATTACCTTAACATAACTTTTGAATGGTTGTTGATTAAGTCTTCCTCGTGACAAAGTCTATTTTCATAAGAACAATATAAAATTTTTATAACTCATGGCTTAGACATTAGAGTGAAAACTTTTTGGAAAAATTAAACCTTCACAAGATCTTTTGAATGGTTGCTATTTCACTAGTATATTTTCTGTGACAAGTCCTCTTTTTGGATACAAACATTTTCGTAGCTCAAGACCGCAGTCTTGCAGTTTGACTTACATTATCAAAAAAAGTTAACCTGATTGGGGGCATCAGCGTGTCACATACATATCCTGTTTTTATCATGTGTTAAAATATTATTATAAATAGTGAAAAGGCAAATTTGGTTGGGCTAAGTACATGATATAAGTACAAGATACCCTGTGGTTTTCAAGTATTAATCTGTTTGAAAACTTGAAATGAAAAATGCAACACAAAAATATACATTACAATATAAACTAATCTCTGTTGAGATTCTGCTGGGCTAGATATTTGGACTGACGCCCGCATAATCTCTGGCCAGCCATTAATATTTCATGTCTGGAAATCAAGTCCCAACTTCGGCCGACTTTAGCAAGAATAATTCACCTAAGCCACACAGCTGCTCGCTTCATTTAAGTCAATTGGTTGTTTATTTGACTTACCCTAATTGATGTCCAATAGCCACAGAAGACATTGGTTCAGATTCACCAAGGGTAAAAACAGACTATAAGAACTCTCTTATTTGAGGAGGTAAACAATTTCATTACAGGAGCCATATTTCAAAACTGAAATTTCAGTGAATATTTTTATGTTAGGATTTACATGCCTAAAAGGTAAGCGATGTAGAAATAAAAGTGACAGAGAGTCAAATAAACAACCAAATGACTTAAATGAAGCGAGCAGCTGTGTGGCTTAGGTGAATTATTCTTGCTATAGTCGGCCGAAGTTGGGACTTGATTTCCAGACATGAAATATTAATGGCTGTCCAGAGATTATGCGAGCGTCAGTCCAAATATCTAGCCCAGCAGAATCTCAACAGAGATTAAATATAAACTAACTACGAGGGCCGTTCAAAAATTACGCGGACTTGTTGCACAGAAAAAATATTTGACGATATAATCGGACAAAATGTCACACATAATATAAAAGAATCTTTACTACATATGGTCTTCAAAATTTCATATCGAAATGTTGTAAATTGGTATCAATTATGAGTGATTTATCAGGACATATCATTAAGTTACGGAGCAGCAAAATCACAGGCATTATAAAAAGATATATGTGATTGAGCTTTCATTTTCTCAACATTTTCCCAAGAGTACCTGTACAGTTTGAGTTGCCTTATCTACTCAACATCCAAACGCCATTTCTTAATTGTCAAGCTTACAATCTATAAAAGAAGTAAACAATATTCTTTTTCTGTTTTAAAACCAAAAACTGCAGGTTGTTATGAGATATAGTGTGATATTGGTGATGCTCAATCACGTTCTTTACAGTCCGGATAAAGTTTTCGTCGATAATCTTCTTCCCGTCCTCCCGTATAGCCTTTTTACAGAGGACTAACGGTCTAAAATTTCAGTTTGCTATTTGTGGACGAGTGTCAGGTATACCCTAGTTTACCACATGTTTTTATGCATATTTTAGATCTATGTTGGCGATATCCCGAGCATTACACATAATTTAACAAAAGTGTGGTGCGCCGTCAAATCAGGAGACGTCATTTTCACAGTCGTTTTCACGGGAATCGCATTGGAGAATCAAAGTACTAGTACTCAGAAGTACAGAGAGTCGGGCTCATTTACAGAGTAGAATGAATTTCTTACATGAATTATAGGTTTATATTCTGATGGAAAAAATTATTTAAAAACTATCAATATAAATGATAAGACACTGACAGTTAGTTTTCGATCCTAATACAACGATCCAGTTTTGTCAGAATCAGAATTAATCTGGCGACCGTTTCACTAACAGGTCGTAGCTCGTAAACGTAGAAGTAAACGTGAACGTAGCACGTAAGTGCGTTTCACTAAGAGTTACGACTTGCGAGTTACGATTAAAGATGATCGTAACTCTACGAGTGGTCCTAATTGCTCCCGTAGATAACCTCGCGTACTCGTAAACTGAATGTAAACAAACAGACCAGTCTGGTTCCCTCTCCTGCTTTACCTCGTATGTGTAGTGAACTACGATAATACTTATTATCAAAAATCCTTACGGTAATGAACTATATGTTCTTTGACTTAGGACTGAAGTTTACAAGGTCATTACTACTAATGTTTTATATAGATAAAACTTCGTTTTAATTTTGTTGCTTTATTTAGCGTTTGTATTATCTCAAAAGCGGTCCCAGGTTGAGAGTAAGAACTATATATTTACTCGTAACTTTAAAATGGCGACTATGGGGTGGACTTCCTGCCTTGAACAGGATGGCATAAGCCGGCAATTGCTCTTTGAGCAATAAGCCCGGCTAAAAATCACTATATTTCTGTTAGCACTTCAAATATCACGTCAGAAATCTAAATACATAATAATAGAACAATTACATTTGAGAAAATTGTCGAAAAATATCGCAAATTATAGAAAATTAATGAGTTAAATTTTGGATTCCGCATGCTTTTGCTTCAATTTTTTTTGTCGTGCTCCGTACCTCTTTATCAGCGATATTAACATACCGATTATTTTCGTAGAATTTTTTTAAAATACAGAAAATTTGCACAAAATTTATTGGAATCTTTAAGATACATATTTCTGTGAAATTTCATAACTATATGACGTCTGTAAAAGTAAATACATGTAATAGCACAGTCCGCGTAATTTTTGAACGGCCCTCGTAATTGTATTAATAATCGCATTCAATTAAAATCAGAAATATGTTTAGCTATTTTTTTAAGCACCTACACTTTTCCTTGTTTGCTTTTTGATGTCCATGGTATATTATCCTATATTTGCTTGCTTGAATTCATCGTCTCGCCTGGTTGGATCAATCATTGGGTTTCTCTATACCTTGGTCTTGTGAGTATTAAAGAAATAAAATTGCTAACTCGTTTGGTACGATATTTACTCGATTTGACTGTATGGTTATACAATGGGTGTCTCTATTTCGACAGGTTCTTGGTTGTTTTGACTTACAATTACCTCTGCTATGAGACTGACTGGGTAAGATATAGGCATCGTGATATTTTGAAGTATATTTGTATAAAACTTATCTAATGCTAGCTGTAGTAATCTATAGTAGATTTTTACAATACCTATATTCAAGATATAGGCATCGTGATATTTTGAAGTATATTTGTATAAAACTTATCTAATGCTAGCTGTAGTAATCTATAGTAGATTTTTACAATACCTATATTCAAATTACAGGAATGGGCTGTCTATGCCATCGTTTTAGTTTCTGAAGTTTACTTGCTGGTGCTCTTCATTTACCGAATTGTAACTGCACTGTGTAAGAAATCTACCAATGTAAGTAAATCAAACAGTATTCTATAGACATGATACATTTTTAAAACGTTGCATTCAAAGTCAGATTATTTTAAAACAATTATCATGTTTTTTACGATTGTATATTTTAGTTGAAGGAACCTCTAGTGAAGATTGACCAGTTGATGCATGTCAAAGATCTACTTCAGAAACCCAAGAACAGTGCTGAAGAAATGAACATGAAGTAGTTTTACATATTTTCCTTTATTGTTAAAACATTGTAGATTATACGTCTGAACGGATCCAAATATTTCATTACAATAGATTACACGAACGTTTTAGGGTATTGCACGTTTCTGAGGGACTTTTCTACCATGTAACGTACATGTACATTGAAAGACCCCGTTTTAAAATGCAGGTTAAAAGAATTGAATATATAGCTTTTCTTTAATTACCCACTAGTTACATACTTTTAATGCTTGATTAACGTGAACCAGAGAGTCAAGTGAGCTTTCCTAAAAAAGTGATATATTCTCGTATGTCAATCATTTGTTAACTTTAAATGTTTTCAAAATCTAAAGAACTATTGGTAGAAGCATCCTTGAAATTTTAAGAATAAAATTACAATTTATAAATGAGAATGATATATTACAAAGGAAAATAATTAGGATAAAGACACGATTTGACTAGAAAAAGCCCATTGTAAAAGCTTCCTTTCATTGTGTTAATTCATGATTGTTAAAAAGCCCAGCAGACTCCAGCTTAAATGGCACAAGAAAGGGATAAAAAGAAATCTCAAGATAATGTTCTGATTCTTAAATTCTGGCCCTGAGGGCTAGAAAAAAGGAGAAAATTTTATGCGGTAATACCGGGTATTTATATGAAAAAATACGAAAAAAAATATTGGGATCACAACCTAGGAGGCTTGAAAATTGGGGTTTACCTTTTTTTGTTGGTTTAGCTCCTCTTTCAATTAGAACCCCCCCCCCCCTAACAAACACACGCACACTTTAGATTTCCTTCATACATAACACGGCCATAACATCATGGATCATCAAAAATAGAATATATTTTTAAAACTTAAGTGTTTCGAGTCTAAGCGCTTCTTTCCATTTCATAGGTCCATGCTGCTTTGCAACAAGAAAAAGTTTTCTTTACTGTATATAAAATGTGCATTTGTGTGGTTCATCAAAATTAGTACGATATAAGATTTACATAAAAGCAATCCTGTATCTGCCCCTGAATGATTACTCAGAAAATTAGTTATTATTTTGAAACGTTATTTTAGAGAGAAGATAATTCAGCGCACAGATGCCGTTGTGGCTGAAGCTAAGCTTTGCTGTCTTCATAAAAGCCTTTACAGATGTACCACAAGGACCCTTGCCATCAACACCATAGTTCTACTTGTCTTATATTATGTAATAACACAAAATTTATAATTATATCTGTAATCAAAAAGTGCTTTTATCTTCTAACAAACTTATGATTTGTTGTTATTTTGGAATATTTATACCCAGCTCCGAAGGAAAGGGGATATGCTGTATTTACCCTTGCGTGTCTCTGTCTGTCCGTAGCTGTCCCTAACATTTTCGTCGCAGTTTTCTTTTGAAACCACTCATTGCAGATGCTTGAAATTTTAGCACACTCTTTTCTGGTCATGCCGTAAGGGAAAGATGTCAATTCCTATATATCTATCCATACCGAATTTTCGCCGCAGTTTTTTTACCAACTTCCCGTTGCTGATGCTTAAAATGCACATTCTTGGTTTTAACATGAAATATGCTTGGTGGGATTCACATTAGAGCGGGGATATTACATGCACTAGTGAAAATTGGCATACAACTTTTAAATTTAATCATATGCATTATTTTGGTAGTTTTTCATTTTTATTGTGGTTTTGACGAACGCCTTCGGGGAAGTGTACGCCAGACTTTCTTCCTTAGACGGTATTGATTTTTATGGTATCAAGATTAGAGGATCAGCTCTTCGGTATATCCGAACTTTCTTTCAAGTTTTTAGAGGTATTACAGGAAACTTTTAAAATTTGAAATCAATTTTTTTCAATTATTTATAATAAAATCAAAACACATATTACAGTAAATACAGTTGATACTTAATATTGTTTTATTTTCAGTCTCCCTCATCATTGCTAATATCCTATCAGCTGTTTATCTCATCGCCAATATGGTCCTCATCTATCGTTCTCAGAGACAGCATATCATACAGATATGGAGAGGAGACAGATCTTTCATTCCCCAAAACTGTATTCAATCAATGGTGATATGGTGGTTTGTAGATCATTAATTGCTTGTTTATTTATATTGAAAATGATCGTAATAATAGATCACAATTACGTATTTTTTACCTTTACCTTCAAACAAGTTTATTATTACATTTTTACACACTTCCCTTTTATTCTTAAAAAAGTATATATATATATATTTATTTAAAGGGAACGTTTGGTCATTTTATTTCTATATATAAAACTATCTCATATATATATATATATATATAACGTTAACATTATATTTTGATTTTGGGGAAAACCTTATCATGACCGCTGTTGACGTAGTGGAAGCAGATTAAATGTCAGATGGCTAGAGTCAATGCGTTTATGATTGCAGAGAAATAAAATTCCTTTCATCAGAAATAAACTAATAAATTCAGGCAATTGTTTAATTATAGAAGAAAAATTAGCATCCTTCTTCGACTCATTTGAACTATTTTAGGAAGTTGGAGTTAAAATTAAGTAAAATATACAACCTTTGCAGCTAAGTTTATAATTAAAGTTTAATCTCCAGTTTACTGCTTTTTATTATTAATTCCTTCTTTTATTTTTCTGAATTCTGAAACACTAGAAACATTAGAATGTGAAAAATATTTTTCCTTTATTACATTTAGATTCAAAATGAAATCTCAAGCTCTTAATTGGCACATTTTCACGACTTGATTCCGACATGATAATGTTTACTCTTAGAGCCAATGTGCCCAGAATACGTCATAAATGTGAGGATTGTGGGAAATACATGTATTTAGCGAGCAATTAAAGATAACTTTATTTCTCAACATGGCAGCCTCCAGCAGTCAGTTCACAAATATTTTAGTAACTTTGGTGTCTATTACTTTATAATAAGGTAAAAACAAATGGCAGCATAAGGTAAAATTCATTCATGATCATTCAATGAATAAAAGTTCAAAAGTTTATTCTAGACACGACGTTTCCTTTAAAAAAAACTGTACTATCAATCCAATCATCAACGTGCCACTTTGTTTGATTGACCATAGTAAAAATTCATAAATTGATAATCATATTATATATCGATTGGATGTTTGATCGGCTACTTTGCATATAAAACACAGTATTCAACAATACACCGATCATGAATACTGTGTTTCCCAGTGCAGCATTTTTAGGCAGCTGTAACAAGTGGTCAGTCTAAGCTGTCCTCAAAATAGCACGTGTCATATTTGTTGTGATTAGGTCTTTAGTTATGGAGTTAATACGTATGAGAAAATTTTAATCATAAGTAAGGCTATGTACTATTATACTACATATACATGTAGCAGTCAATATCATCATTATAATGATTAAAACACGCTTTGCCTGTTAACGTATGACTATTGTTCCTGCATCCACGTGAACAATCATTCAATACGATTGGTCAGAATTGTATATGGTTATGCTGGATTGTGTGCAAAATAGAATTGCCTTCATAAAATCAAACATCCAATCGATGTGTAATGTGGTTATCAAAATGTGAAAGATTATCACGCTCGATCAAGCAAAGTGACACGCTAGTTACTGGAATGACAGGCATATTATTTTTGAGACACTACGTATAAGATGATTATTCATGTAAGAAAGTAGAGTTTGTGAATATGCTCTGAAATACTTATGTGTAGCTGTATGAGCGTTGTTTTTCTATAAAAGATTTGAAGAATAATTCAAAGGTCTATAATACAAAATCATTTTCTCATTTGATGACACTTGTAAGGAATGGCAAAAAATAGGTAACGGTTCCCTCACAATGATCAGTAATTGTTAATGGGCTAACAAGGTTTTAAAAAATAAAATAAAGAAACAATTTTTGGTGGCATTAATTTTAACTTCTAAGATTTCATTTTTTTTTCCAGGCGAAAAGTTTAATGTATGCAGGAAACCAAACATCGCATCTTCTTGGAGGTTTGGTTAATCTATCATGATTATCATTCTCATGTAGACACAAATGTATCAGCTTATTTTAACAGAGAGCATTCATGAATTCAGACTGACTTTAAACATTTTACTTTATTCTTATTTTCCTCTAGGTTATTTCATTTCACAGACAGTGGTCTTCTTACTCTGTGTTGTCTTGGCGTATTGTGTTGTATTACCTATCATGAAAGAGGTTCCTAATTTCTTTCTTTCACCAGTGGAGGCTTTATTGTAAGTTTTAGTTTATTTTCTTCTTCAATTTTAACATTTAGTAAGATTTTTTATTAGATGTTGAAATTTCCAAATCATCCTACTGCTTCTAGACCCGGTGTGGTGTTCATGTTTATTTTCCGACTTGTACTTCGAATCATCAGTCGTAAAGCTTTCTTACAAAACCATTACATCAGTTCTGACAACGGTGAACACTGGGAGAAAGTGTTGGCTTTAGACAATAGGTAAGTTTAGTCAGATGGATTTTAGATTTTGTTCTTCTGCATCTTTCTGTTAATGCTTTTTTGCATGGAATTCTTCGACCATCCGCAATTTCTGTAAAAATCTTAGGTGACTTCGACTCTTTTTTCAGGCGAGTATACCAGAATCTGTCCTATTTCCTGTTTTTCTACTATATACTGATTGGATTATTCAGATGTGTGTACCGGGTCGTAGTGTCCATGTGTTTAGGAATATTTTACATAGCGCGTATGGATAGATCCTTGTTGTTTCCCGGATATGAGCATCGTGATATAGGTGAATGAATCAACATTTTTATACGAATGAAATCCATCTGTGGCATACAAATTAAAATATTTCTAAGTTAACATATGTTAACTTTTCATCCTATTGTAAAGTATAGAGAGTTGAAAGTGATTAAACCACAAATGAATTAATTTTAATTGAGTGTTCCTTACCTTAGTTTGTTTCTTCTGTTCAAGGTTATATGACGTATCTTGGGTTTCTGGAGGTAGAACTTCACCACTGTCACCCAGTAGTTGTTGTTTTTTGTGACCAGATGATCAAGTCTGTGAAAATAATCTCTACTAAATCTGCACAGAGCCTTACTTCCTCAGATGACCTTGATTATGAGAACAGGATGTGTGGTCTATCCAGTGTTTACACACGTAAAGTAAGGAATAGGTGGCAAAAGATGAAAACCCTAATCTCCAACCAGTCTCTTTGCAAAACTTCTAAAACAAACATTTCTTTTGAGCATCCTCTTACTGCCAAGAAAACAGTGATGGGATCCACAATGATCTAAGAGTAAACCAAAAATTCTGGGTAATTGTGTAGTTTTGTAGGTTGAAATTTTAGATCAACATGTAAAAGCTCCAAGTTGTAAGTTTTGAGCCTAATACTTAGGATATGAAATAAGAATCTCTGAATATTATATTTATTTACTAGTTTATTTGTTTTTTTTTTTTGGCAATTCCATTATTAGTTTTAGGAATAGTCTACCTGTAAGAAAAAAATATCCAGGAATGTCAAATAAACCTCATTGAAAATATGACATACAAAAAAAGAAAGAAAGTGAATTCTTACTTGTTTTTAGTTTTTTTCCCACTCTATTCTGGATATTTCCTTCCATTTATCACAAAGAAAGATTTGATTTCAACAGTCAACGAATTTAAATATGTTTAACTGTGTGATAATATTCAAAAAGCACTCATATCGTTACAATTTTTTTTTATTTTGTGGTGGATATGAATATCAAAAGTATGTGTTCTTTGTTATTGTTTTTAAAAGACTTTTAAAAACGCATTTTTTACTTTTGTATTGTTTTCTTCCAATGTGATCCAAGCATTTGAATGACTACATGTATCATCATGATGTATCATTTCAGAAAAAAATGTGTTGGTGTTTTTTTTCTTGAAATTTAGCATTTTGGTTTATCTTTCTCTGACAGAGAATCACTTTATTCTTATTAATGTGGCTCTGTAATTTGTTGTTTTACATTAAGGAAAATGTCGCATAGGATTACGAATTATGTAGTCTTTTATTGTTCAAAAATCTGAAGTTTGACTGTGACATTACAGACCAAATATTGCTTCTTCTAAACTTGTATTGATTTTTTAAACATTATCAGAAATTAAATAATTTGAATATTGGTCCAGATATTGTTCTTTATTAATTTTTAAAATGTTTCTGATCATTGTGTCAAATTAGAAAAATTCACCATGGCTTTAAATTTTTTAAGATTCATTTTTTGTAACTTCTTTGATTCGAATAAGACGAAATAATAATAAAAATCGACGAAAGCAAAACGAACTGGAAGCAGAGGAAGCACGGACCTCTAAAAACTTCAGAGTAGGAATCAGGTGTCATAAAGGAGTTAACATTCTTTGTCAACTGCTCACATCCGACCTGTGCTTTTTATTATTACTATGTAAATGTAAAAAATCGTGAACCAGAGACTATGCTATTGCGTAAAGACCCAAATGCAAAATATAAAAACCACATGTAAGGAATGTCATATTGCTACATACATGTAAGTAAGGGGACTGGACTAAAAAAATTAGAAGAAAAGGTTATCATAAAGCTTTGTTTTTAAGTCTTGAGCCTAATTCTTAGGATATGAAATAAGAATCTCAGAATATTATATTACTAAATGGTCTTTGTTTCTTTCCTTTTTTTATTCCATTATTAGTTTTAGGAATAGTCTACCTGTAAGAAAAAAAATATCCACTTATGTCAAATATACCTCTTTGAAAGTATGACATACAAAAAGGAAAGTGAATTCTTACTTGTTTTTAGTTTTTTCCCACTCTATTCTGGGTATTTCATTCAATTTATCGCAGATAAACATTTGATTTCAACAGTCAACGAATTTAAATATGTTTTACTGTGTGATAATATTCAAAATGCACTTATCCCGTTACATTTTTTTTTATTTTGTGGTGGATATGAATATCAAAAGTATGTGTTCTTTGTTATTGTTTTTAAAAGACTTTTAAAAACGCATTTTTTACTTTTGTATTGTTTTCTTCTTATGTGACCCAAGCATTTGAATGACTACATATATCATGTATCATTTCAGAAAAAAATGTGGTGTTTTTTTTTTTGTTGAAATTTAGCATTTTGGTTTATCTTTCTCTGACAGAGAATCGCTTTTAATTATTCTTATTAATGTGCCTCTGTAATTTGTTGTTTTACATTAAGGAAAATGTTGCATAGGAATACGATTTATGTAGTCTTTTATTGTTCAAAAATCTGTTTGATTATGACATTACAGACCAAATATTGCTTCTTCTAAACTTGTATTGATTGTTTAAACATGATCAGAAATTAAATAATTTTAATATTGGTCCAGATATTGTTCTTTATTAATTTTTAGAATGTTTCTGATTTATGTGTCAAAATTAGGAAAAATCACCATGGCTTTTAATTTTTTAGGGTTCATTTTTCGTAACTTCTTTGATTCGAATAAGACAATTTAAAAATCGACGAAAGCAAAACGAACTGGAAGCAGAGGAAGCACGGACCTCTAAAAACTTCAGAGTAGGAATCAGGTGTCATGTAGGAGTTAACATTCTTTGTCAACTGATCACATCCGCCCTGTTCTTTTTATTATTACTATCCAAATGTAAAAATTCGTGGACCAGAGACTATGTTCTTGCGTAAAGACTCAAATGCAAAATATAAAAACCACATGTAAGTAATGTCATATCGCTACATAATTAAAGGGACTAGACTATAAAAAATTAAATAAAAAGGTTACCTTAAGGCTTTGTTTTTAAGTAACTATTAACGTCTTTTCTGGTGGAGTCTTTAAGAATAAATACTGTAAATATGTCCATTTGTTTTTGGGGTGTTTTCGAGATCAAAGGAATATATCAAATAAAAAAAAAGAAATAGATTTTGTTGATTTAGAAATCGTAGAAAATTTATCTTAATTTTAAATTTAAGGCTATAACCACAGTCTGTTAAATGAAGTTCTGAGGATTTTCATGTTTAACTACCGCGACTCATCATTTCAAATGTTCGTGAACGGAAGTCGTCATTTTTACTATTTCTAGAAGGGGAAAACCCAACAACTGACTTTTACAAAACATGGATATTCAAAAATTGCGATGTTTATACAAATATTTTTAATATTTTTTGGTCGTTTCTGTTCAAGTATGTCGGCAATGTAAACACAGATGCCTTTATATGTGGAATTCTATGGGTAAACATCGGGATTAAAAACTGGAAGGGGGGTACCTCAGTACATATATCTATACTGTAGCAAGCGTAGATCTATGGGCATTTTAAACATGAACCTGCTGAAGCTGCTTTTTTTTTTAGGTACGATGGGATTTAATCCTCCAATGATACGTATAAAAATGTTAAATCAAGACCTATAAAACTTTACAATAACATGACTGACAAAGAATTTATATATCACGTAGTACTACTATAGTATAGTAGTTTAGATAGAAATACTAGATTTTTTTTTTAAATATATTTAAGTAGATCGTTCTGAGTATCATGACTTCTTTAACTGTTTGAAACAATCTCTGTGTTGTTAAGTCTGTTTACTTAATAGATAGAATTAAATAGAATTACTTTTTATTCGTGCATAATTACGTACCGCGGCATACTATGTCACTTGACCACCCTAAGCCCCCCTCACCCCTCTTTTCTTCCGACCTTTATTTTAAAGCAATCTTTAATGTATTTATGCAATACAAGTATAACCTGTTTTACGCATACACACTGTTGTTTTAGCTTCATTTTAGTCCTTAATACGTTAATTAGATTCACAAACTTTGTATCTTTTTTTGGGAGAAACAAATATGGGTTTTCCCCTTCTAGAAATAGTAAAAATGACGACTTCCGTTCACGAACATTTAAAATGATGAGTCGCGGTAGTTAAACATAAAAATCCTCAGGACTGGAAATACAATGGGACACAAATTAGTGATGTATCAATTAAATAATAATCTCTGAAGATATTGAAACCTTTACTTCCAGTCGGTAAGTAGCTTTCATCATAATTTTTTGAGGATTTCCTACCGAGGGGTCGAAAATCGTATGTTGAAGTTGCCAACCTTGTTCTGTTATAGTATCAGTGAGGGTGAATTTTTATAAAGGGCTAGTTTCAGCTTAAATTTAGGATTTTTCAGTTATAATACTTTGAAAATATATCATAGAAAATATTTTATTTAAAAAAAGTCAAAAAATCCTTGGGGGTACGGAACACGGGGGGGGGGGGGGTCCTGTCCCCAAGCACCTGTGCTTTATGGTAGTTGTTTGTACAATCATAATGTTTTCACAAAACAGAATTTGTAATGAAATAGTAAGTTAGTTCACAATTTCGAAATGTATTAAAACAAGATGTGTTTGTGAAACACCATGTGCAAAGTTCGATAAAGCTATTTTTATCAAAGAAGTCAAGGTCAAAAGATCATTGACCTTGATGTCATTTGGAAGAGCTTAATTAGTGCAGACAGGACAAAAACAATATACGCACGCTTCGATCTATCGATCCGGTACATAAAAATTCGCTCTCCTTTATGTGGAAAAGCCTTAACATAAATTACCATGTTCATTCCGAAGCAACTTGCGTAGAAAAAATATACTGTGGTTCTTTTTCTGGATGCGTGTCTGGGTTACTTTTTAGTTGAATTTTACAAGCCTGAAGGTAAGTATAAAACTTTAACGACTAAACCTGCGTGTACCTGTATAATGCATTCTTTAAAATTTATGATCTGTTTCAGATGCTATATTTGGGGTAAATGACGAGTTTATAGAGCATGTCCCACTTTTTAATGAGAACGTTCTAGAGACCTGTGTTGCATAAACGTATCATCTACATACTACGAGGCTTACTTTGGATGCTGTGTCAAATTTTCTTTAACCAAATGATACGTCATGCAGTGACTATTTTAAACGTTTTGGAGTCTATTGAATGATACACATTTCCATAACTTTTGTTAAGCATGTGAAGTGATATAGGTTACCATAGGATTTTTTTTTATCGATTTCCAGTTATGAAACAACAGTTGTAGACAGTCGTTTGTGCTTTCTCTCTCTCTCTCTCTCTCTCTCTCATTTTAGTTAATGAAATCGATATAGAAAAAACACAAAAATTATACCTCATATTTACATGTACATTTATACGTAAGTATTCACGAAAACTTAGTTAAAGAACAACTACGCTTGCTTATTTAATTAATTTAGATAAGTTAATATTAATAGCAGTTTGGCTACAGTATTCATACTATTTGAACAAAAAGAGTTTGTTAATAGTAAGTTTGAAATAAATAAGTGAATAAGTAA